CAATGGCTGGAGCTACAGGATCCGAAGCCAGGAGACAGGAATTACTTCCCAGTCTCCCATGCAGGAGCAGGGGCCCAAGGACTTGGGCCAACTTCTACTGCTTTCCCAGGCCACAGCAGAGAGCTGGATTGGAAGAAGTGCAGCCGGGACTAGAACAGGTGCCAATATGGGATGTCGGTGCTGCAGACACAGGATTAACACACTGCCCCACCGCACAGTCCCCCGGAGTTAAGATTTACATTGTAATTGGGAATATGTGTTTCTCATCTATAATTTGAAAACAGTAGCAATGTGTGGACTTGCTGTTAGAATTACAAGTGATGCTTATCTCAGTTAATGATACTTTCATACACCCCGACCTAGAAATTCCATCATTTCTTCATTTTTCTCAACTCTGAGGTCATGTCCATGAAGGCCAGTGACTATCAGGATGATGAGATAAATGAGTGCTGGGGTGTGAGAGAATATGATTCAGCAGCACGGGGTGTTCATTGAATTAGTATGTGTGGTGTGTGTGAGTGTGTGTGTGAGTATGTGTGTCCCTCATGTAAGAGGTGCCTCTATCATGTTGTGCTGATCATTTGGACCTAATACATGTACTGAGTATCAAGTTAATTTTTCAAGAGAGGGTATAAATCTGGATATTTATGCACAAATTATATCCATTTCCAAATTTTGACAACTAATTAACTTTAAAACAGTTTAAAAGTTTAATACAGTATGTCCATAAACTGAATAGGATCTCTCTTCTAAAACATCACAAAAAGGAATTTAAATCACTTTTTCCTGGCCAGCACTGTGATGGGGTGGGTTGAGTCAGCACCTGCCATGCTAGTTCCCATATCAAATTGCTCGTTTGTGCCCTTGCTGCTCTGCTTCACATCCAGCTCCTTGCTAATGTGCCTGAGATGACAGCACAAGATGACCCAAGAGTCTGACCCTCGGCTACCCATGTGGGAAACCTGATGGAGCTCCTGGTTCCTGGTTTCAGCCTGATCCAGCCCCTAGAACGCCAGCCATCTGGGGAGTGAACCAGTGGAGAGAGATTCTCTTTCTAACTTTCCCTGCATCTCTCTCACTCTGGAACTCCCTGCTTTGCAGATAAATAGAATAAATTTTTAAAAAATCTTTTCTGTTTTTTCCAGGATTAGGGTGATCTTAATTCACTTTCTACAGGCCAGAGCGTATATCATTCCTGCTACTCTCCCCGTTACTCATGAAACATTTCCCCGATTTTAGCTGAATCTATTATGTCTCGTGAAACATCTCTGGTCCTTGCTATGTTTTTAGCCTGAAACTCTCAGAAATGAGTGAGGAGAAAATGATATACAGAAATGAAATTGTCTCACGCAAAGAAAAAGAAAGACAAAGACATTTAGCTCACAAAAAAAGAGGTAATTTTTCTTATTTTGTGATTTCTGAGAACATAATGTCAGGTAGAAAAAAATAACATATTTAAAAGCCATATCTATTCGATATGGAATGTCTAGTTCCTTATTTTACTTTAGATATTGGGAGATCCATTTAAGTGTAGTATCCATGAGATTTTTGATTAAGATGAATATGTGATTTTAATGCCAATTTCCAGCATAAATGTTTGTCCTGCTTAGGTCTTATCTGTTTACCAAGCTCATTATATACCCACTTTTTAAATTTTTTACAGAAAACCCATGCACAGTAATCCTGGGAATCATCTGTGTTGTGCTCCTGCTGGCAAGCATAGGGTTAGGATATATGTGTGAGTATGTGCAGCTATGTGGGTGTGGGAGGGCAATAAGAAAAAGAGAAGGAAATCGATTAGCCCAAGAAATGGTGGATTTTAAAAATAAGAAGTCTTTTTTTTTTTGTTTTTAGTTGTGGTCTAGAATATGGACACTGTAATAGGTGGCTGAACTGCAGGAAGAGTTACAGTTATTATGAAGGGGACATGAAGGGACTATGTATTTGATATTGCTAGATTTTTACAACCAGATAAAATTTAATGTTGGTACATAGGGGTGTCATTGGAAATGAAAAGATTCTGTTGTGTGACAAACACTTGAGTGATTTTTTTCAAATTATTTATTTGAGGGAGGGATGGAGGAAGAAAGAGAGAGAGAGATCCCACCTTCTCATTATCTAAGTTTTAAAGTCTGCAACAGCGGGGACTGGGCTGGGTCACAGAAATGCAATCCACTCATGTGGGTGTCAGCGACCCATTCACTTTGAGCCATCACTACTGCCTCCCAGCATCTCCATTAAGAGAAAGTGGGAATCAGGAACTGGACCAAGCAAGCAAACTTGTGTGCCTGATATGGAAAACAGGCATTTTTTAAAAATGGAACAAGAGCTTTTTATTTTACATTTTTATTCTCAACTTAATGGAAGAAACTGCTGTTTCTCTCATAGACTTTTAACTTTCCTTTTGCACATTCGAAATATCTATGAACTGATTTGCCGTGCATATTTTATGCATACATTATACATACAGGCAAATCACTTATGTCAATATGTAAATGCTAAATTGAGTCACATGCTGAGAAACCATTATTTAAAGATGGCATAAAATCTAGTTCATTTTTAATTTCCTTTGTTTCTAGTTTATGAAATGAACACTACTTTTTTATGTGTCTTGGAAATAATAGATTTCAAGTTACATATAATTGTAGTTTTATATAAAATATATTTTATGGCCTGACACAAAAATATTTTAACTTTATCTATGATTATAATCCCAAGTAATCATCACCATGTTCTTTTATACCTAGAATTATAGGATATGATCATAATTAAGTGATCTTTTAAGTCATTTAAGTTGTTAATTTTGTAATGTGGATTGAAGCTTTTCAGAAGTGTCCTAAATGCACAACACAGGATAAGGAAAACACAAAAGAAAAGAACACATCCTCAGTACAGCTGGAAGATCATTCAGTGGTGCTGTCCAGTAGAGGTTTGTACTCAATGTTTAAGTTCATAGCCGACAGGTTATTTTTCATAGACTTACTGCCTTCTGTCCATTTCAATATATAAACTTTAAAAAGTTGATATTGGATCTTATGATGAGTTATAGGTTTTAACTTTACTCTCCTCATTAAATCTATTTTTAAAATCATAGTTAACTAAGCATTTGAGTTTGAAAAGATGTTTGGGTACAGAAAAACTCTTCTTTTATGCTAATTCCTTCTGAAGAAAAAATTAAATACCTAAAATCTTGTTTTCTAAATGGCCTGGTGTCTTGGGGTGGGGGTGACTTGTTTTGAAGAACAAGCCTGTGGCTTCTTGCAAGGAAGACACTTTTGTTGTGGAAGAAACTGCTACTATTTTTCTAAAAAAGAAGAAACATGGGAGGAGAGCAGGAATTTATGCCGGAACATGAATTCTAGCCTTGTGAAGATTGATGACATCCAGGAACTGGTATGTTCACTTAATTAACCTTTATGAGAAGCTTGCAAAGACTGAGTTAGGCTGCCTGTGTTGGCTTTCCTTGAGTCTTATTTGACTGCAGGGTGGAAACACTTGTATTTGTAGAGGGGAAGACATGCTTTAAGGACCTAAATAATTTCACTTTCTAAAGCAGCAGAGGTGGCTTATTGTGTGCGCCATGGAATTATATTGAGTCCTTCTACTTATGTTTTCATGATTTGTGAATGATAAAAAAAAAACACCTGAATGAGTGAATTAGTTGGCACTTAATTTTAGTGATTCTTCAGAGCCCTAGAGCAATAAAGTATATTTTAAAACTTCTTCTACAATATCTCTATGTATTTCATAGGTTTCAAAAGAGAAAACATTATAAGTTTCTTCTTATAGAATTTAACTAAAGTGGAAAAATAATGGAGTGTGTATCTGGGACAGAGAACAGGAAAGAAAAGTGAAATGGAGAGAGTAAATTGCATTTGGAAATAAAATCAATTTTTTTGCCTAACATTTGAGTACCCAAGGAAAGCATTTAAAAGGAATAAAATATAACTGAAATAATTATGAAAATATACACTAACGTTAGGTTTATAGTATGTCAGATCTTAATATGCATTATTTCAGTGCATAAAAAGTTCCACATAGGTAATGCCATTCCCATATTTTAGACAAGGAAGAAACTCAAGGAGTTTAGTTTGTTTGCCTTTGCTCTCATAGTAAGTTAATTACATAATCTGCTTTAAAATTTGTGGCTAGAGTTCTGATTTCCATAGCTGTATGATATTCGTGGTATCACATGGAGAGACATTACTTAGCCATTCTCTAGGTGATGGGAATTTGGGTTGTTTCCACTGCTGTTGTGATGAGCAGCTCTTCATTAACCATCCTTAGACACGTCAGCTGTGCACGTCTTTCATGTGTCTCCTCTGCAGTTCATCACAAACCTGTATGAGTGCAATTATTGGGTGTTCCCAGTTTTACAAAATAATTCCACAATATTTTTCAATATGTTTTTACTGATAGTTTTGAAGATATTCTATTGTTTCCTACCATCCTAAATTCTTGTGTTTGCTCTCTGTAAAGAATTTCCTTGTAGCTTAGTTTGCCTTTACTTGATCTCCACTGAAGTTGATATCCTTTATTGTTCATATATGTTTTCTATGAACATTTTTTTCATTTTTTTCTTTTGGATGATTTTGCTTTCCAATTGATTTATATGAACTAATGTTTTGTTCTTGGAACTACATTACTATATGCATGTCCAGATTTGAAACTTCCCTTCCCATGTTCTTCAAGGTGTGTTTTGATGAAGAGAAGTTCTAAGTTGAATGAATCCATACTTACCAATCACTTGTTTAGTATTATGCTTGGAGATTTTTGTGTCTTTCTAAAGAAGTTCACCATGGTCCTTTCTTGATATCTTTCAAGCCACAAAGATGCAGGAGATTCAGACTTTTAGAACTTTCACTTCCATGGCTTCTCTGCACAGTAGATGAACTAAGATTGTCTTTAGTGAAATGATTAGTATTTTGTACAAGTCCTTTGTAGATAAAAGGATATTATTGATGTAATGAGTAATACTAGTAATTCTAACTTGTGCACAGAATTTCATTCAATCACACATCAAATACACTTACTGGATTGGATTATACCAAAAAGAAGATACAAATGAGTGGAAGTGGCGGGACAACACGAAACTTGCTCAACAACTGTAAGTTTGCATTTCACATTCTATGAGGTAGGAAATCGCATAGTGTACTAGAGGATCCTGAGTGCCATGGAGCACTATTCAGTCCCTGCTGGGTCAGGGAGTACAGTTCGTGTGGGGGGCAGTGGAAGGAAGAGGTTTTATGTTTTTAATGGGGGAGACACAGGTGATCTAATGTGATAATGGTGTTGTTATAATGATTTAAAGGAGGTGAATGAGAAAGCTAAGGGAGCTCTCTGATGGGGTAGCATCCTGGAAGGAAGACTAACTGGTGTAGAGATGGGGGAGTGCATTTGGTTTTCTCGAGGAAACAGGAAGAGGATCTGTGATACTGGAGGAATCTGAGTAAGGAAGGAAAAGTAAGTCAGAGAGATGATATGGATGAGATCATCTAGGAATGAGAGACCACAGAAAGACTTTGATTTCTCTTTTTTTCTTTTGACATGTAGAGTTATAGATAGTGAGAGAGAGACAGAGAGAAAGGTCTTCCTTCCGTTGGTTCACAGCCCAAATGGCCGCTACGGCCAGCGCTGCGCCGATCTGAAGCCAGGAGCCAAGTGCTTTCTCCTGGTCTCCCATGTGGGTGCAGGGCCCAAGCACTTGGGCCATCCTCCACTGCCTTCCTGGGCCACAGCAGAGAGCAGGACTGGAAGAGGAACAACCAGGACTAGAACCCGGCGTCCATGTGGGATGCCAGCGCCGCAGGTTGAGAATTAACCAAGTGATCTATGACACTGGCCCTAAGACTTTGACTTCTTAATGAGTGCAGTGATTCTCTTTTGGAGGGTTTTGAGCTGAGGGATGACAAGGACAACCTTCCTATTCTAAAAAGTCCCCTGGACATTGTGTGGTCCTTAGGTGGTGAATGGGAGATACAGATTGCAACTAAGAGAGTCACACTGAAAGTCAGTTGTCATCAACCAACCAAACCATGGTGGTGGTTTGGTCAAGAGAGATAGGGAGGGTGCTGGGGAAACGGAACCAGATGCCAGACCTACTGTGAAAATGTGTGAGAGGAAGAGAATTCAGAGATGGCTGCCAGGTTTTAGTCCAGCAATGATGACAGTAGAGCTGTCATTAACTGCTACGAGGAGCATCAGGCATTCAGTATTAGTGACAAGTTTGATACATCCATTATACATTTTGATATCTGTGGGCATGTCACATAGACATGTTGTGCATGATTGTAAACTTCATGTAAAAAATCTGTCTTAGGGATGTGTATTTAATGTGTGTCAATGCTGCAGGGGTGTGGGCACTATGAGATGATATTTTGAGTACTTTTTTATGCTTTATTTTATTAGAAAATCAGAGTTGGAGAGAGATCCTCCATCTCCTGGTTGACTCCCCAAAAAGCCACAATAGCCAGGGATGTGCCAGGAGCTTCATCCAGGTGTCCCATGTGGGTGTCGGGAGTCCCAGGACTTGGGCTGTCTTCTTTTAGTTTCCCAGCACATTGACAGGAGCTGAATTGGAGGTGGAGCAGGCATGAATTGAACAAGAGCTCATATGGGATGTTGGCATCTCAAACAGCAGCTTAATTCACTGTGCCACAAGGCCAACCCCTGTTGTGGGGGTTTTGATTGCTGAGATATCCAGACCCTGATCCCTGAGACACCAAACATTTAAGATATTGTGGTGATGAGGATGATTACAAAAGGGTCCTAAGAAAAGTAGTGAGATTGAAAGGAGGAAACCAGGAAAGAGCAGTGGGATACCTAAAAAAGGCACAACTAAAGCAATGTGCCAAGTTAAATGGTTGGTGACTTCTTGCCAATAATAATTTTGTGACTTGAAATTATTATTATCAGACTCATATATCTGCTGGGAAATTCATATTATACACTTTTTCCATATATCATAGCATAGTCCTATAACTTAGAATCCATGTTGAATATTCTCATTGTCCAACATCACAAAATATCAACACTGTTTGGTGGACCAGACATGAGCTCAGTGGGAGTAAGGTCACCTTGTGTGTGAAATGCCAACCAGCTCCTCCTAGTGATCAAAGTGAGGACGGGGTTGTGGCCTCCTGCTATATGCCCATCAATCTGAGTCACAGGACACTGGAGCTGTCATTGTATCTAATTATAATGTGTTACTAATAACCTTACCTTATTTAGTAACTCTGGTGAGTTTCTGAAGTCTCAGAACTTCCAGAGTGAGCCCATCTAAAGCCTACCCACTGTGTTCTGTGTACCTAGTCCTCATCTGCAGTCATTCACCAGCATGAACTGTCCCTTAGCTTTAGAAATACTTACACCTTCTGATTTGCCACCTGTACATCTGTCAGAGGGATTTTGTGTTCACTTAATAATCACACACACACACATACACACACACACACATTTTTAAATTGTGACAATGAAATATTGCCCAAAGAATGATATTCTAAAATAAATATATTCTCTGACATAGGACTTTCCGTCAATCAAATAAAGTGGGTGAAAAATGTGGATGCCTGAAGCCACAATACATCAATAATGCTGATTGTTCAAGATCTTTTCCTTACATATGTGAGAAGAATAAGCCCTTCTTCAATAATTAGTACAACCTTTATGGATAGCAGTATGCAGATTCCTCAAAAGACTGAAAATGTTTCTGCCACGTGACTCAGCCATCCCTCCTCTAGGAATATACCCTGCAGTAACAAAGTCCACAAGGAAAAAGATACCTGCATTCCCATGTTTACAGCAACCCAATGTTTAACAGCAAATATATGGAATAAACCTATATGTCCATAAACTTTCAATCTCACTACTGTATGAAGAATATGTGTGTGATGAAATATTACTTAGCCACTAAAAAGAATGAAATCCTAATGTTTGCAACAAAATGAATGGAACTATAGATCGTTATGCTAAGTGGAATAAGCCAGAAAAGGAAAGACAAATATCAAAAATTCTCTCATATTTGAATATTAATATATAATGTATTAAAATGATATGAATTTCTTATTGTTTACTATATGCATAGGTAGAAGTATTCTCTTCACTGAATTGTATCATATATATAACAATTCCCCCTCCTTTCCTCACTTCATGATCATTGACATGAATTCCATGTGATATTAAAATCCTTGTTTTGAAGAGTGAATGTATGTATATAATAGCTACATATGAAGTGAATATGACAAGATTTTAAAAATTGTTAAATCTTAAAATAAATATTGCAAATAAATAAATTCAACCAAAAATATATTTTATTTTTGAGTGGCACAAAGAGAGTAATTATATCTATTTTTGGGGGAATAGTATGATATTTAATACATGTTTGCAATATGTATGATCCACTAAGCGTAACTGGCATATCTATCAACTAAGGCACTTATTATTTCTTTATGTTGGGTACATTCAAATCTAGCTACCTGAAATATTCAATTGTTATAGGACATTCGAACTTATTTCTCATAACCAGCTGCACCTCTGTACCAATAAACAATCTTCTCCCCATCACTCTCTCTGCTACCTGCTTTTCAGGCTCTGGTAACCACTATTCCAGTCTCTGATTTACAGTCAATGTTTAAGCTTCCATATAAAAGTGAAAATAGTTAGTACTTGTCTTTCTGTATGTTACTTCAATAAAAGTAGTGTATTCTCATTCTTTCCATGCTCCTGAAAATGACAGAATTCCATTCTATTTTATGGATGAGTAATATTCCTTACAGCATTTTTATCCATTAGGGACACTTAAGTTGAGCTCATATTTTGATTACTGTGATCATTCTGAATTAAACATGCAAGTGCAAGGATTCTTCAATATACTGCTGTCAATTCCTTTAGATAAACATGCAGATATGCAGAGCAGTTATAACAAAACAGCCTTGTACTTGGCAAAAAAAAACAGATGGATAGACCAATGGAGCATAATAGAAACTCCAGAAACCAGGCCACACATCTATAATCAGTTATCTTTGACAAGGAAGCTAAACTCAATTCCTGAAGCAAGGGCAACTTCTTCAACAAGTGATGATGCAAAAACTGGATCTTTGCATGCAGAATATGAAACTAGACCCCTACTATACACCTTGCCAAAAATCCACTCAAAATGGGTCAAAGACCTTGTCCATGACCCAATATCATCACAATACCACAGAACATTGGAGAAACCCTGCAAGATAGTGGCATAGGAAAGACTTATTTTAAAAGACCCCAGAAGTACAGCAATCAAAGCCAAAATTAACAAATGGGATTACACCAAATTGAGATGCTTCAGCACTGCAAAAGAAAGCTCAGCAAAGTGAAGAGGAGAAAATATTTGCAAACTATGCAAGTGATAAAGGATTAATATCCAGAATATACAAGGGGGTCAAGAAACTCAACTACAACAGAACAAACAATCCAGTTAAGAAATGAGCAAAGGACTTGAACATTTTTCAAGAGGAAATTCAAACAGCTAACAGACCTGAAAAATGCTCAGGAACATTAGCCATCAGGGAAATGCAAATCAAAGCCACAATGAGGTTTTACTTCACCCCAGTTAGGATGGCTCTCATACAGAAATCAGTGAACAACAAATGGTGGTGAGGATGTGGGGAAAATGTACCCTAATCCACTGTTGGTGGGAATGTAAACTGGTGTAGCCACTGTGGAAGACAGCATGGAGATACCTCAGAAATCTGAATGTAGATCTACCATATGATGCAGCCACCCCACTCCTTGGAATTTACCCGAAGGAAAAGAAATCAGCATATGAAAGTCATCTGTATCTCCATGTTCATTGTAGCTCAATTCACTATAGCCAAGATATGGAATCAATCCAGATGTCCATCAAATGAAGACTGGATAAAGAATTATGATATATATATATATGTATATGTGTGTATATTTATATATATATACACTATGGAATACTACACACAGTAAGAAATGAAATCCTGTCATTCACAATAAAATGGATGGTACTGGAAAACATTGTACTTAGTGAAATAAGCCAATCCCCAAAAGATAAATACCATAGGTTCTCACTGATCTCTGGTATCCAATAT